ACCACGTTGGAGGCATACGTAAGCAGGAATGTCCCCAGAACCCATCTCCCTTCAGGAGAGGATTCGAGTCAAGATCGGCTCAAGGCAGAGCCCTGGGAGGGGGAGGTCTGGCCGCTCTCACTCTCCGCCCGTTTCCCACCCTCTGACACCAGCTGTCCTGGGTTCCAGAACCCAATGCAGTGGCCTCGGGGAACGCACAGACCAGACCTCCAGTCCTGCAAACAGCTGGAAGGAACAGGTTAGCTCAGAATCAGGACCCACAGCCTGCAGGTCGAATTTTGACAGAAGCAGGAAGCACATCGGCAAACCTTTTTGCTGCAATGCAGGGGCTCCCTCAGCTCCCCACGGCCTTGCTGTCTGCCACCACCCGCTGCCACCGGGCCCATGCTGGACCTGGCACACTCGGCAGTGGGACATCCCTCCACCCATGTGACAGCTCCTTCAGGAGGGTCCTTGCCTCGAAGCGTCCTCTCTGCCCCTCTCTTCTCGCTTGCTCTGCCATTGTCCACGTCTCCCCTGAAAAACCTGTGAGGCTGGCTGCCCCCAGGAGAATTCAGAACGCGTGGCTACAGAAGCACAGAGGCCTGCATTCAAGAAAAACACCAACATATCCGCCATCTAGGTTTATGTACTTCTGAAAGCAGTGTTTCCATCTCCCCATCCTTTCCCCTGGAGGAAAAAGTCTATCAAGAAGATCCCTGTGTGGGAGCTCAAAAAACAGCCACCCTGACCTTCTCATCGGACCTCTCTGCCTTGGCTTTACCCGGCCAAGCGGTTCCCCTCAGAGTGGACCTTTGTGTCTGAGGGCACCGTAAACCCCAAACTCACTGCCGTCTAGTCCAGGCCAACTAATAGGCCAGAGGTAGAACTATGTCTGTGGGTTTCTGAGACCGTAACTGTTGACGAAACTAGCAAGCCCCATCTTTCTCCCTGAAGGCACCCTAGGGAGATTCAGACAAAGAGTGTGATGGAGAGAACTTGTCTGCAGCCATTCGCTGATCACAGAGCCATGGTGAAGCACAGTGTGGGTGGAACCAGGCTGTGTGTTTGGACTGGAACCTCAGTAGCAATATTGTTTCACTCACCCTCCTACACACCTACCTTAGCAGGATGGTAGGTTCCGCTCCAGACCACAGCGACAAATCGAATACCACAGTAAAGCTAGCCACATGAATTTTTAAATCTTTCCAATGCCTATAACAGTTCTGTTTCCACTCTACTATAGTCTGTTATAAGGTGCCCTGGTGGTGCCATGAGTCAGGCATCGAACTGCTAACCAGAAGGTTAGGAGTTCCAACCCAGCAGCTGCTCCACAGGAGAAAGACGAGGCCGGCTGCCCGTGTAAGGGGCCACAGTCTTGGGAACCGTGTGTTGGAATGGACTTGATGGCAGGGGGGTGTGGTGTGGAGAGCCTGTCACGAAGAGGACCACGGCGTGAACGCTGAAAACCCTTGAAATGTGAGAATGACAAAAGTGCCACGCACAGACCCAGAGTGAGCACACACTGTCAGGGAGACGGTGCCGATGGACTGGCCTGACAGTTGCCACAAACCTTCCATTGGCAAGAAAGGCCATTTCCCATCCGGGGAACCTGCCGTCAATCCAAATTCAACAGAAGGAGGTCTATGTGTATGCACAGCGAAGGGGCAGTAGTACAGAGGCCCCTGGACAGCTGAGACCGGGCTTGCCCTAAGGAGACCAAGACAAGACAAGTCCTGTGGGGACGGGGAGAAGGTCCACAAGGCCTGGATGGAGCGTGCGTAGCAGAGAGGAGCTTGGAGAACCATCTCACACTGAGGAAGGCAGAGGCATGCTCTCCATCGCCCCCATGCTGTTGATCCTGATAGCGAGGTATCGTCCGCTGATCCTGATCCCAATTGTGCCCTATGACTTCGTGAATAAATCATTTGACCATAAGTATGGTCTGCAAGTTCCTTGTGACCATTACAGTGGATTATCGAACCTAACAGAGGTAGCGGGCACCATGGGAGGGGCAGCTGGGGTCAGAAATGGTGAAAAGTTTGGAGAGCGTAGGTATGTCTGACCGCGGCCTCACAGGACTCAGCTGTGTGCTGATGTTGGTTCCCTCTCCTCCCCCTGAAGTTAGAGGCGATCAGTCATCACTACTGCGATGCAATACATATACAGTCATGTTTATATTTCCACAATGACCACAAGCATCATGACGTAAAGCAGCACAAATGTACTCTGTTACAGTTGTGTAGGCCAGAAGCCAGAGGCTCTAGCAGGAGACGTGTGCCTCGCCCGCTTCTAGAGGCCACCACCATTCCTTGTCCGTGGCCTCTTCAGTGCTGGCATCACGGACCTCTGACTCCAGTGTCCATCTTTTTCTCTGCCTCCCCCTTTTCCTTAGAAGGACTGGTGTGGTCTCATCGTGCCCTCTCAGATGGGAAAAAGCCATCGGCTGTTCACTTCTGAGGAATTAGCCACGGAAAACCTTATGGACAGAATTGAAACATTGTCAGATGCTGGAAGCCTCATGCTAAGAAGCAGAACACGGTTGGAGCCAGAAGATGGGCCCCTCAGGTCGAAAGGCACTCAACATTCGACTGAGCTAGCCGATCAAAGTAGAGCCGACCACAGTGACATAGATGGGGTCAAGGCTGCGGCAGTCAGGCCTTCTGGACCTTCATTTGCTGAACAGGTATGACCCCAAATGAGAAGAAACAGTGTGCAGACAGTAATTAATAATAGGAACTTAAGTATGCAAAGTATGAATCTAGGCAAACTGGAGGCGGTGACAAATGAAACGGAGCACATAAAGATGGGCATTCTAGGCATTAGTGAGCCGGAATGGGCTGGTATTGGCCATTTGAATCCGAAAATCCTGCACTTTACTATGCTGGGAATGAAACAATCAAGAAGAAATGGTGTTGCATTCTTAATCAAAAAGGATCTTTCCAGGTCGATCTTGAAGTACAATGCTGTCTGTGATAGGATTCTATCCATCTGCACCCAAGTAAATCCAATCAGTACAACTATTAATCAGTGCTCATGGAAACAACAGTCAAGACATCAAACGACAAATTGCATGAGGTCAATCTGCTGCACCGACCTCTTTAGAGCATTGAAGAGCAACGGTGTTCCTTTGAGGACTAAGGTGCACCTGACCCAAGCCGTGGCGTTTTCAGTCTCCTCATATGGCTGTGAGACTGGACCTTGACTAAGGAAGACTGACGGACAATTGGTGCATTTGCATTGTAGTGCTGGTGGAGAACATGGACAATATCACAGACTGACAATGGAGCCAACAAATCTGTCTGGAAGGAAGGCACAGCCAGAATGCTCCTTCGAGGCACTTCATCTCACGTACTTTGGACCTGTTGTCAGGGGAGACCAGACGCTGGAGAAGGGCTCATGCTTGGAAAGGTGGAGGGGCCGTGAGAACAGAGGAGGGCCCTCAACCACGTGGATGGGAACAGTGGCTGCCACTGTGGGTTTGAACGGAAAAACAATTGTGAGGGTCGCACAGGGCATGGCAGTGGTTCCCCTGTCCGTACAGCTGCTATGAGTCAGACCCAGTTCAACAGCACCTGACAGCTTCAGTGACCCTGGTCGCCTGGACGGTCTCCTCATCTACACCCTTAACTTCATGACAGTTGCAAGTCATTTTACCATGTAAGGTGTCGATCCACGGGATCTGGAAATTGGTCGTTACTCTGCTCACGACAACACACTCTGTTAGGGTTAATGGCATGGACACTGGCTTCTTTGGGGTCCGGATAATGGGAAGCCAACTGGAGATACGTCTAGTTTTGTTGTGCGTTGCAATGGAGTTGGTTCTGACCCATAGCAACCCTATGCACGGCAGAACAAGTCACTGACCGGTCGTGTGGCATCCTCAAGGGTTCCTACCCTTGAGCCCAAGGTTGTAGCCACTGTGTCCGTTCATCTTGCTGAGGGCCTTCCTCTTTGTCACTGCCCCTCCACTTTCCCAAACACGATGTCCCTCTCCAGGGTCTGGTCTTTCCTGACAACACGTCCAAATATGTAAGACATCATGCCTCTAAGGAGCATTCTGGCTGTCCTTTTTCCAAGACATACCTGGTTTTGTTTGTGTGTGTGTTTTTTATCAGTCCATGGTACTTTCAATATTCTTCTATAGTGCCACAATTCAAATGTACCATGCTGCTTCGGTCTTCCCTAATTAATGTCTAACTTTCACATGCACATGAAGCAGTGGAAAATATCATGACTTTGATCAGGCTCACTTTAGTCGTCAAAATAACCTTGCTCTTCAATACTCTAAAAAGATCTTATGCAGCAGATGTACCTAACTTGTCATTTGATCGTTTGTCATTGATCATCTTGTCATTTGGTCTCTAGACTGCTGCCTCCATGAGCATTTATTGTGGGTCCAAGCAGGAAATCCTTGACAACTTCAACCTTTCCTCCTTTTATCATGAAGTTCACTACTGGTTAAAGGGTGAAGCTTTTCGTCTTCTTAATCCATACTGATGCTGCAATCCTTGGTCTTCATCAGCACGTGCTTCAAGCCCTCCTCACTGTCAGCAAGCATGGCTGTGTCATCAGCCTATCACAATTTTTAATGAGCCTTCCTGCAAACCTGATGCCGCATTCTTCTTTTAATCCAGCTTCTCAGTTGATTTGCTCAGCATATAGATTGAATAAATTTGGTGAAAGGATACAACTCAGAGGCGCACTATGTTAATAGGCAGGGCTCTCTAAAGAAACAAAACCAAGACATGTATGATTACAGATATATACAAGAGGATAGATTTATGCAGCACGAAGGAATATAACAGCTAATTATTTCACACAGCAGTACAGAGGGCTCAGTTTAACTCCCATGGAACAGTTAATATACTGGAAGTCCTTCAACTCATGAGGGCTGTCCCGTCCAAGGTTGAGGAAGCACACAGCTGAGTCTTCCCTCAGGCAATGCAGGCAGTTTGTCCACAGGCAGCAAACAGCAGGGTGGGTCACCCACAGTCAGGAACTCAGGAGCTTAGGGAAGCAAGCTCAGATGGGATATCTAACTCAAGCAATGTAAGATGATAGGGATGATAGGATCCGCCAGCCTCAAGCTCAAGCAATGTACACACCAGTAGCGTGGCAAAGCAGATCTCGAAGGAACCCCATGCTCTAGTGACACCATTCACGGGTTGGGTGTCCCACAGGTAGTGTAGCTCACAAATTGAGGCAGAGAACTAGCTAAAGCTGCCGCACACTGGTCCAATCACCAGAGAGCAAGAGAGAGAGGGGCGGGCCTTGCTGAGCCATTTATCTCTTTACCCTCCAAACTGCAAGCCGATTAATCCCACATGTTTCTATTGGCCAGGTTGGCACAATAATCCTACCTATCACACACACATTTCCTGATTTTGTGCCATGCAGTACTCCTCTGTACTGGTCACACTGCTGCCTCTTGTTCCATGTAGAAGTTCCACATGAGCACAATGAAGGGTTCCGAAATTCTCATTCTTCTCAAGGCCGTCCCTAGTTTGTTATGCTCCACATTAGTCGAATGTCTTGGCATAGTCAATACAGCACAGGTAAACAGCTCTCTGGTATTCTCTTGCTTTGAGCCGAGATCCACCTGACATCAGCAATGATATCCCTTGTTCCACATCCTCGTCTGAATCCGGCCTGAACCTCCTTGAGCTCCCTGACATGAACTACGGAAACCTTTGTTGGATGATGTTCAACAAAGCTTTACTTGTGTGCCTCTGGTTTCAGTACAGTAGTACATATTATGTGGCTTGCTGTTGTCTGTCAGTAGGTAAGTTCTGACTCCTACTCCAGGAGGTCTCCAGGATGCTTCCGTCTTCTGTGGCTCCTCATCTGGTAACATGACATCAAGATTCAAGGCCCGAGGCCTACTGAGGTACAAACATGTCCTGCAAGGTCAATTCTAGAGGTATGTGGGTGCTGTAGCTGTTAGGTGACATTCACTCAGTTCCTACTCATAGTGACCCTGTGTCCAACAGTTGAAAAGACTGCCCTGTCCTGTGCCAGTCTCACAATTGTTGTTATGTGTGAGCCCATTGTTGCACAAAGAGCGTGTTCTTTTTGCTGGCTGTGGCAGTTACATAATCTCCCGTCAACTTGAGAAGGGGTGGAGTCTAGCCTGTTGATCAGATTGCAGCGTGGTGACCTCATTTGGAGGCACCATGGAGATAAATAGCTCCCTGGAGGCCAGAGACACTCTGTGCTTCTCTCCCTGTGAGACATTCTTATTGACAAGCCACATGGAGCTATGCTGATGGAGCCAGAGCCTTGGTGGTGGAGGAGCCACGTGGAGACCCACACCAGTGCTGAGATGTTTCCACCACCACTGGATCCCCAAGACTTTCCACCACTGGCCTGTGATCTTCCTGCATTCAGTGTCTTGCATGTGTTCACGAGTGATTTATAGACTGGTATCGGACATATGGGCTAATGTCGGACTTATGGACTTGATCTGGTCTGGGCTGGAATGTTTTCTTAATATACAATTACTCTTCTATATAAATTTATATAATATACAATTACTCTTTTACATAAAGTTCTTTCATGTACACATGCGAGTGTCTCTGGATTTATTTCTCTAGTCTACCTGGACTAACACACTGGTGCTCTATGTTACCAAGTCTGGGCTGGTCTCTCTTGATAACGTGTCGAAAGTCTGTGAGAGAAAGTCCTACCATCCTTGCTCTGAGGAGCATTCTGCCTACAGTTCTTCCAAGACAGGAAGTGTGGGAGTAGGAATCGGCGACAAGGTGTGAACTGTCTGGCGTGAGAAGCTTGCCTGGAGAAAATCTTCCACCGGTTCCACGTGTGCAACTGTAGACGGAGGCTGTGGATCTCAGGGACGCCTCATCAGTAGCCACGTTCTCTGATCAGGAAATGTCGTCAGGAACGTGTATGGAGTGTGTGCATTTATAAATACACTAACCATTGCCATTTGTGACTGTGACTACCCAAGGTAAAAGCTGTGAGCAGTCTTGTGTCTCGAGGGCATCAACCTGTAGCAGTGCCCTGAACAGCACAGGTACCTGGGGGTGAATTTGCATGTTTTGCCTTCCAGTGGCCAGTTTGAACCCCCCAGCCACTCCACAGGTGAACGAGGTGGCTCTCTGCTTCCTCAGAGATGTCACCCTGGGAAACCCCATGGGCAATTCTATCCACCTTGTAGGGTGGCCAGCAGTTGCAGTCCACTTAGCAGCCACTGAGGAAATTTTTTTCTGTTTTGTCTTGTTTCTGTCATCAGAAAGATTGTGTCATGCTGGAAGCCATGCCATGATATTTTACTTCATGTCATGATATTTTGAATACCAGTAGGGTCAGCCATCGCGGATAGGTTTCAGTGGAGCTTGCAGACTAAGGCAGACTAGGAAGAAAGTCTTGCCAGTTTACTTTGAGAAAGATCAACGAAACCCATATATTATTTTAAGCGGAACATTGTCCAACTCGCTAGCTCTGGACAAGTCATTGGGAGCAACCAGTCCCTGGAGGAAGGCATTATGTTGGGTGAATTAAAGAGCCGGCGGAGCCAAGGGAAGCCCTTGCCGAGATGGCTTGGCACCTCTTCCCCAAGGCTGAACTTGGAATGCGGTAGCTGCAGAGGACAATGCAGGCCCAGCCAGTGTTCCGTTCTAAGTTCACCGAGCTGGAGATTAACTGGGAGGCAACTCCCCATCTGCCATCAGTCAATCATGCCGGAGGAGACATCGGAGGATCTTTCTACTCTCTCCAAAGAAAATGGTACTAACAAGAGTGTTGTCACGCGAAGAGATGGTTGAAGAGTCTGCAGCCAGCAATGTATGGGGGAAATGGTATTGGAGAGGTGTGTTGGGAGTGGATAAAAATCCTAGGTTCCTCTCTAGGTTGTATGATAGCGATATTATTTGCTCGATACATTAGTTTTTGTTTTGTTTGTGTGTGTGTGTGTGTGTGACTTCTCATTTTAAGTCAATATTCCCTGGGTTTCAGATTTTCTTACAGCAGGCCCCTTGCCCCCCACCCCCCAAACCTGGATCTCTCTGTGTATCTATTACATCACTTGTTGTTTCTCTTCCAGTGTAAAGAGCTGACCAAGTACAAGGCCGAAGTGGCCTGCATCGCCATGTATGAAACAGACGTGTTTGTGGTCGGAACCGACAAAGGACGCGCCTTCGTCAACGCCAGGGCAGATTTCCAGAAAGATTTTGCCAAATACTGTAGGTACTCTTACTTTTATTCTCCGTGCTTCATAAACCACCCGTCGGCGTGTCTGTGGGCAAGAGTTGTTCATGTTTTCCTCTACGATATCCTGAGCATTCTCCTAACACACAAAGGGAATCGCTGCTGGGCTCCTGGCGTCCAAGGGAAACGGTCCCGGCTGGTTGGTGGAATATGAATGGACATAGAACAAAGTGCCTTTGATTCCTGAAACACACGCACGTGGTACAAAGAACTCTTCTTTGAGTCTTTCCCAGAAGAAAGGGGGGAAGTTCGTTCAGAGCCTGTTAAGTGCAGCCAGAAACAAGTGAAGCTTCTGTTAACCAGTATATTGCTCAACCTCACCCTCCCCACTTTCCCCCCAACTTCTGGATTTTCAGAGCCTTCAAGATGCCAGTGTGTTGGGTCCAAGAGACCAAGAAGTAACATTAGTGACCCTAAGTGACCAGGGGACACAGTGAGGGAAAGTGCTCCTGAGTGAGAAAACCCATACCTACTCCCCACCTGGGTCTGGGTGGACTAGAGAAACAGATTCATAGACACTCATATATATAAGAAAGAGCTTTATATACAAGAGCAATTGAATATTGAGGAAACATCCCAGTCCAGTCCAGATCATGTCCATAAGTCCAGTATTAGCCCATATGTCTGATATAATCTATAAAGTCCTCTTCAGACTCACGAAACACATGCAGTGACACCGAATGCAGGAAGATCACAGGCCAGTAGGTGGGAAGTCTAGTGGATCCAGTGGCAGTGGAAGCATCTTAGCGCTGGCAGGGGTCTCCACGTGGCTTCTCCAGCTCTGAGACTCTGGCTGCCATCAACCTGTCTCCATGTAGCTTGTCAACAAGAATGCCTCTCGGGCTGAGCATGGGTCCCACCTCAAGTGAGCCATTTATCTCCTTAGCACCTCCAAATGAGGTCATCAAGCTGCTACCTGATTGACCGGCTAAACTCCACCCGTTCTTTCTTAATCCTCTCCAATTAACAACAGATTATGTAACTACACACTACCACCTAATTTACAATGACCATTTTGTTATTAGGAAAAGCCTACACCTCTGTGATGATCACCCCTCCCACTCTGGGTTTTCCACCAAGTATTGAGTTCATCATTTCATAGTCCCAGGAGCCTGGAAAGGAAAACAAGCCCAGATTTGTCAGGGGGATGGGGCTGTGTGTTGTCACTGTTGTTTTCTGCTGAAAGAATTCCAACTCGTAGTGACCCAGCAGAAGGGAGTAGAGCAGCCCCCAGGGTGTTCCCCCCCAGGTTGTGAATCTATAGAACTACACCTCACCCCTCCGAAGGACTGCGGTGTCGGTGCTGCCGAGTCTGTTCCTCCTGGAGAGCCCCCGCGCCTGCTCCATCCTCACAGTTGGTCTAATTTTAGAGCCCATTGTTGCAGCCGCTGTGTCAGTCCACCTCGACAAGGGACTTCCTCTCTCTCTGCCCTCTGCTAGGGACCCCCCAGATAGGAGGAGGAAACACTGCCCGGCCCACACCAGGCTCACAGTCGCTCATGCAAACTGACAGCTGCAGCCACGCTGTCAATTCATGCCCTTGAATGTCTTCCTCTGTGTCATCACCCTTCTGCTTTGCCAACTCCAGTGTCCTTCTCCACGGACTGGTCCAAAGTATGTGAAAGTCTCCCCTCCTTCCTTCTCAGGAGCATGCTGGTTGTACTTCCTCCAGGATAGATTTGTTTTTCTGTCCAGTCATGGTGCTTTGCACATGCTTCACCGGCACTGTAGTTCAAGTGCATCGGCTCTTCTTTGGTCTTCCTCAGTCACTGTCCACACTCAATGTCCAGTGGAACTGGTGGCTCTAACTTTTCATTGGCAGCGGAGCACTTAACCATTGTGCTCCTTATGATGATGAATATATGGAGACAGGTGGATGGAGAGGAAGAGTGATCCCAAGTGTTGGTGTGTGTGTGTGTGTGTACACAGTATATATATATATATATAATTTTATTTTTGTATCACAAAACAAATTTATATCTATCTCTTACTCCAAGACAGCCTATATGAGAATTTGGGTCTCCAATATCAAGAAGATAGATTTAAAATGAAGCAATCTACTAAGTCCTAGGTCCAATTTAAGAACAATTAGTTCTTACATCATGACCCTCCTTGACACCCTCAGGAAGGGACCACAGAAGAAATGGGTGCTCTAGCAAAGGGTGGTGAAGAAATTAGATGGTGCCGGCTATCAGATAAAATAGCACCTGGGGTCTTAAAGGCTTGTTTCCAAACAAGCAGCCATCTAAGAGAGATATCAAGCTAAGTCTACATGGAAGAAGCACACCCAGGATTATAGATCATATAATACAAAGCCAAAGGAGGGTGTAGTATCAGAGCCTGACTGATGAGATTCTGGTTTGCAGAAAGCTATGGATGACCATGGAAACCCTATCAGTTGTGAGATCTATCAAGAAATGAGCCTCCGGCGATTTCCCTCTATCCATAATGGAGCGATGGGAATATACTGGTTATGTGCGTTGGAGAGATGAATCCAGGAGATCAAAATGATAAGGCTGACTTGAATTGGTTGGTCCTCCCTCTGATTTAAGTTGGGCCTGGTCTGGTTTTCAACGTTTTCTCGGTGTGTATGTGTGTGTTTTCCTCTTGGATTTATCTGTGATGTATTTCGTCACGGGGGTTGCCCTCTTGTTTCTGTGTTACATGTCTCTGTGTTCCGGTCTATGAAACCCAGCACTGATGGCCCTATAGAGACAGCAAGTACAATAAGGGTTCCTGGGGAATAAGTGGGGGGAGGGAATAAGGGGAGCTGATATCAAGGAGTTCAAGAAGGAAGAGAATGATTTGAAACTGGTTGTGGTATCAATTGTACAATTGGTAGAATTTTGGGATGATAATATCTCTATATCAGCTCCCAATAAAATGGTATTGAAAAAAATAAATAAAATGAAGCAATCCATTTAATACCGTGAACGCAATGGTTGATTCAAAAGAACTCATTATGCCAATTGGATAAAGCAACCAATCAGATGTCTAATTCTTGAAATCTGATGAAAGCTGTTGTCAGTTTCAACTCTGAGCCGCTGTACTCCTGTGCGCTGAAGTAAAACTGTCCCCAGAGGGTTTCCCAAACTGCAGTTTTTCTGGAAGAAGATCTAGCCACCTTTCTCTCGAGGCTGCTGGCGGGTTCAAGCACCAACTTCATGGTTAGCAGGACGGTGCTCTGTGCGTCCCCACTGTACCACCAGGGGGGACATTCAATGACAGATACATGCGGGAACCCCAGAGAGTGCATGGGAATGTGGCATGAAAAGATAGTGCAATTTCCCACACAAACTTTAAATATATGTATGTATGTATGTATGTATGTATGTATCTATGTTAATAGAGATCCCTTTATGAAGTCTCAAATAGGATGAAAGATAAGAGAGTGACAAAAAAGAATCATCCAGATGAGGGGGACCACCAGCAGCATGAAGTTTAAATGATGTCCTTCTAGAGACGTTTAAAAGTCCTGTCATCGTATTGTAAGTTTCATAGTTGCATGCTAACTTCTCCAATATTAAAACAACAACAAAAACCCAGTACCACAGCTCGTCCAACTCATAGTGACCCTATAGAACACTGTAAAACTGCCCCTTTGGGATTCTGAGGCTGTACATCTTTACAGGAGTAGAAAGCCGCCTCTTTCTCCTAAAGATTGACTCTTGGCTTCAAACCACTGACCATGTGATTAGCAGCCCAGTGTGTAACCCACGCAGCCACCAGGGCTCCTTGTTCTGACTTCGGGCCCTCCATAGTTCTGCTCCTTTTGCTTCGGATCCATCAGCACTGTTCATGGAAGCAGCAGTCAAGAACTCAAACGATGCATTGCCCTGGATAAGTCTGCTGTCCAAGACTTCTGAAAAGTATTGAAAAGCAAGAATGTAATTTGGAGGACTGAGGTGTGCTTGGCCCCAGCCCTGGTATTTTCAGTCACCTCTTCGTGTGAAAGTTGAATAGGCAGACTGGAGAAGAAACGATGCATTTGGATCCAAGGATATTGACATGACCATGGATTTCCAGAAGAGTAACCAAGTCTGCCATGGGAGAAGGTCACCTGGGATGCTCCTTAGACGTGAGGATGGTGAGACGTTGTCTCACGGACTTTGGGCTTGTCATCAGGAGAGACCGGTCCCCGGCGAAGGACGTCATGCTTGGGAACGGAGTAGGTCATGGAAAAAGAAGGAGACTCTCTTGGGCTCCAGCGTAGCAAGGATTGTGAGGGTAGCGCAGGACCGTGCAGTGCTTCCTTCTCTGGTACATAGGGTCAGCGTTGGAGCCAACTCCCCAGCACCTAACAACGGCACACTCACAGGCCGTTTCCCAGAGAGGGATCCTAGGACGTTGTGCTGGCTTCCTCTTCCGTCTCTTACAATTCATCCCACCAGCCCGCTAGACAGCAGCCTGGCCTGTGGGGCCCCCGGAAGCCATCTCGATCATTCCACATCCTCTCCAGAGAAGTCTGACTCTGAGGCCCAGGAAAGGGGTGCCCTCCTTCTGACTTAGCCCTTCCTGGGGTCTCGACCTCAGCCCTGCTAGCAGTGGTGACCCTCTGTTAGTGATTTAGAGTGCCCTTGTGACTGTGTAGTGGGACGTTAAGTCAACCTGTGAGAGGAGGAAGCCTGTCAGAGAAGGAAAACCCAAATGAGTTCCTCCTAGAGCAGCGGTTCCCAACCTTCCTCGTGTTCCAACCCTTTCATATAGTTCCTCATGTTGTGGTGACCCCCGACCATAACATTATTTTTGTCGCTACTCCATCACTGTCATTTTGCTACTGTGATGAATCGGGCACCCCCTGTGAAAGGGTTGTTCGACGCCCCCAAAGGGGTCACGACCCACAGGTTGAGAACCGCTGCCCTAGAGCAATGCATTCTGCTTTATGAACAGTCTCTGAAACTGTTGGTCTTGGAGCCCCAGCATGAGGAAATGCAGATGCCCAAACCGGAAATAGTTCTAAGAATCCAAGCGTCCA